ATATATATATACACACACACACACACACATATATATATACACACATATATACACACACATATACGTATATATACACACATACACATATATATACACACACACACACTTTTTGCAGTACCGTCTCAAAACATACCGTGGACATCCGTTGTGGAGACGAACAATCCAAGAGTATTTTAAAAGCCTCTCTTGTTGTGATGCACTTCGCTCATGGGCTTGTAAAACACACATTAGCTTTTAGCCACTGCTCCCTGTGCTGAACAGAGCCACAACCCCCCATTCGCTGGTATTGTGCTTTTCATTCCCCTCACGTGAACATTCATCTGGCATTGTGAACTGGCTTGGAAGGAGAACGAGGACATGATGTCGTTTAGCTAAAAGTGGCTCACTTTGAAGTGTTTCCTCTTCTTCCTTTCAGAATAACATGAGATCTATTTTTTTGTCTACAGAAACAAAATGGACTGAGAACTTCACCGTGTCTTCCCTCTAGAAGCAGACCTGCAATAATATACTTTATAGAAACAGAGGACCTGATGTCAAATGTATTCATGCACTGAGAGCAAAACCACAAGGGCAAAGCAAAAGGACATAAAACCTGCTCCGAGTATATTCAGCAGTGGAACAAGGTCTTCTGTGGAAATATACTAGCGTATGAAAAACAAAACTGCATTCCAGTAAAAGCTGCATTTTGGCCTCAATATAACATAAATGACAGAAACAGATTCCGACATATAGGGTGAAATATAAATCAATGTTTCATGAACTGGGAATTCAGATGGTTAATATTTAACGAGAGAATTTCCACATCTCACGATAGTGAATATCCCGCAATCAGCACAGCTCTGCTTGTTGTGACGTTTCATTCTGAAATCTCACGAAAGCCTGAAAACAAGGGAATATTTACCGCTGTGTCTGCATTCTCAGCTTAGTCTTATCTTCACTAATAACAGCATCAGTCTAGACTTCCAGACACACAACAAACGGATCATTACTGGCTCTGTTTTTAGTGGTATCCCTGCTGGATGATTTGCAATTAATGTTCTCATAACACAGTTTGCGTCTTCATTATCCCCTCCTCTTAACACTCAACTGTTTAGTCAAACATGTGTTTGTGCGCTTGATGGTTGTAATGTCTGTACAGGTAGGTTCAAAGGTCATATGAAGCCAGACACCAGCAGTGTTTTATGACGAAAGGAGGATTGTAGTTTGACCCGACTAAAAGTATTCAACCTGTGTGACGCTGTACTTATACACAGCGGTACGTTAGCCTACATGCTTAAATCAACGTTTAGGTAAATACAGATGTCAGATCGAACTCCGTATACGAAATACCCAAAATTAAAGTCCTCGGGTCGGGATCAGAGAATCTTCACGAACAAGTCTATCCATTTGTTGTTGAGACATTTCAATCAAAACCACACAAGTCAACCTCATAGCGGCACCAGATGACCAAAGTCAATAGGGTTCATCCTCTGGGAGCGGGAACCATAGATATCTGTACCAAACGTTGAAATAGTGATTAAACACTGACTGACAATGCAATCTTTAGAGCCACGTCAAAAGCATGGCTATCACACGAGCATCTCTAAACCTCTTACAGTCTCACTAACAGTACATCACTGTAAATGTCAGTCACCTACCACGAGCTAAGACTATCAGAGCCATTACACGCACTCCAAACAGACAAAGGACTTATTAGCCTCTCAGCCCTTTGGCGAGTGAATAGTGCATCTGGTTAATTATCACCGAATGCCAGATCGATACACCCTCTAAACGGGGGACCATAAATCTGCTCCGCCATTAAGAGGAGCCCATTGTTGGGCTCTGTTTAAGCAGCGGAGGCCTCGGCAGCTCAGGGGCTCGCAGCGAATGCGACGTCTGGGTCCTGTGGGAGCGGGTGTGGGCGACTGTACCGCTTTTGGCCCACTCCTATCGGGCTCGGATCTTCAGCCGCTCTGAATAGAGCTCGGATGATCCCTCCTCTGGCATTTTTTTCTTTTGCTTCTGTGGAGCTTTGTGCCTTTCATGCCGTCTGCTTCAAAGCTGGCTGGGAGATGCAGATAGAGTGAACTCAAGGGGATAGGCGCAGCCAAAATAAGCCCGAATAAGCCTGCTGTGATGCATCCTTGTGCATCACAGCAGGCTTATCAGCATCCTTATGTAGAGTGCACGACTGTTGTGTTCTTATTTCAAGTTTTCCTACCTCAAGCTTCTGAATTGTGAGGATCTGCTGCTTTTCTTTGTCTCATGTGACTGAAAACTAGATTTCTTTGGATTTCGGACCATTGGTCGTACAAACCGAGCAAATTAAAGATGTCTGTGGCTTTAAGACATTGTGATTTCTCATTTATTTCTGTAAAACACATAATTGATTGATCGATCAAGAAATTATAATCCAATCCAACAATGATTTGATTACAGCCCTGACATGATCTATGCCATCCAAAATGCCTCGGGTATTAAAAGAAGAGAAGATTCTTCCGTACATGCACACTGCAGAGCCATCTGGCCCACATTCAGCCCAGTATTGGCTTCAGCTTTCTAAAGCAGTCCTAACACATGCTGATGGAAGTGAAACCCACAGTGTGTGTGTGTGTGTGGGTGGCCTGTGCATATATTCCACACAGCCTACTACTCCACATTACCATATCTTAGGCTCGGCCACATTCTCATACTTTGGACACATGGGATTCCTTTGGTTTGGGGGGGGCTGTGGTGATTTCTGCTCGTCTCATTCGGAGGTCATCAAATTCAAAAAAGCAGCCTCTATACCTCTCAACTGCTGTCTCCATGGCGACAGCCAGATGTTGTGCAGGGCACATCCCCCCCCCACACTCCACATGCAAGCCTCGCCCGAAGGCAGACTAAAGAGGCATCTGTTACCGTTTCCCCCTGCGGCTGCTGGAAATAACCAGGGAGAGACAGAAAGGCAACACAAAGGGACCGTTCCCAAAGGAATGAGCACGTCCATGCTGTGCGTACACACTGCTTTGTGCTGTCTGTCACACTAATAAGTCCTCCTAACCTCCATCCTCTCAGGTGCTCCAAAACTGGGGCAGTATCTTACTGATCACTTGAAACACAAGGATGTTTCTTTGAGCGATCCATTACAGCCCCATGTAGGCTACAGCTGTTCACTGATGATCGTCTGCACAACATCATATGAGGAACCCCCCCCCCCCACACCATGAGAAGTGATTAAGATTAGCCACCACTTCATTGGTCTTTGATAAGGCAAGCAGCCAAAGACAGCCACCTTAGGTACCGTAATTATGCATCCCCCTGTTCTCCAGACAGAAGGGAGAAGCAGCCCTTTGCAGCCTGAAACAGGAGACCAGATTCACGGTTTCTGATCCAGCCAGGCTGCAGAACCACCTGAATGCACATCTACAGCTCTGCACGATGGCCGGTGTTTCCTGCTTCCTGCTGTTAAATCACATGAGGACTGTTGATATGTACCTCTAAAGCAATGTTGACTGTTGTGAAATACAATTATAGACAGAACTCAAACTGAAAATTACCGTAAATAACCTAAACTGCTCACACTGAAGCAGTGGCAAGTCCCAGAACAGAGAAGATGAAGGAATATAGGGGTTGAATTACTATTAAAACACATAGAGAAATATACATTTTAAAATGCTTAGACATTGGCATATGCTGTGAATCAGACAGGTAAAGTGGAAAAAAAAAAATACTCAAGTTGTTAATACCTTAGATTGGGACCTTACCTTGATGTCTGGGAGCATTTGTCTCACTTTAAACGTGGTTTTAGATCCTGTCAACATTTTTCACGACAATTCAACTCAATTGAAACGAAAAGATAATGGATATTATAAGCGAACGGTCGCTGTGTTAGCAGAGAGAAGCCGTCAGAAAGGGTCCGGAATCCGGTAACGTATCACCAGGCTGCTGCAACCGAGGTGTTCAGTGTGCACAAGCAAACTATTGTCGCTTTTTTCATCGCTGTTCGCACTGACAGAGAGCACACCCCGCCGAAAACCCCCCACCACCACCACCACCACCACCACCAGTCACCGGACTGTTACTAACTGGTGCGAGTTAGTCACCACCGAGGAGCTGTGTGCACCGTTACTGCTGTTTTCCCACCGGGCTCTGTTTGTTTATCCGTTCGCCATAGTGGGAGGGAAAAAAAGAAGCTAAGTGCAGCGATGGAGCTTCTTAAAGGGCCAGTGCATCTGAAAACATAAAAAGAATATACACATGATGTAGCGTGACAGTAAGAAGGACACAGGATGTGTTTTGTTTTTTTTAGTTTTTTTTTAGACGTTGCACACAGTGACGGAAGCTGCAAAGTCGAACTCAACACCACGAAACAAGTACAGAAGCACTATCAGCAACATGCACCTCTAATAAGAAGCACGCATCATGCTGTGTACTGATATTCACTGGTCGTGGATACTGTATGGATACTGCTTGCTGTGTAATGTTGAGTTAAATTGGTCTTTTTATTTCTATTCCCTTCTTTATTTCACTTTTTCACCTGTACGTGTGCTGCTGCAACACCTGAATTTACCCTGACTGATCTCATCTTATATTACTAGATTAATAATAATAATAATGCATTAATGTGTTGAGTAGCATTTCTTGCTCTAGGTGCAGGTAATTGTATTTGATTTATACAAACCTGGGTAGTTTAATCCATAACGATATGCATCATCTACATATGCACAGTCACTATAGAAGTTCAATGCATCTCTCTGAAATGTGGTGAAGTAGAAGTATAAATTAGGAATATAATGGAAAGTTTTGCACTCGGGTAAATAGTTTCTTTGCACCATTGCATTTACACAACTCTGAAGAGTCCTATCAATCTGTATAATGTGTTTCCTTAAACTGTCCCAGCTTGTCTTGTCCTTTGTCTTGATATTGCTTTTCATACGTCAGTGTTCTTTGTTTACACACACGAGAAACATCTTTGTAAAGTGGTTCTCCTATAAATTTGACTTTGTTCTCAAATGTTATTCAAGGAAACCACTTTTGTTCAGGACAGAAGAGAGTCCGGTTTGATGGCTTTGTATGCAGGCCACTTGTTGTTGAGGGTTTAAACTGAAGCAGTTGCTGAGCCGGAAAGCCAACATACATAAAATCATTCAACTCACGACCCTTTGGTGTTTCAATCTTGTAAAAACCCCAAAACAATCCTGTAAATTTACCATCTACAGCCTCTTTTTGGTCAGCGGTACCTTTTTCCTGATCCTTTAGCAGCTCTGTGTGGGGACGGGCTCCGCTCCTCTCTCATCCAAACGAGTGGAAAGAAACCGCTAACAACTCTCTTCCAGACGAACACAGGAGGCCGATTCAGAAGAAATTCCTGTCCGGAGAGAACTAAGGAAAGTTTGAGTAATCCTGAGCGACGGTGGCGTGTCCCGCTGAACAGGTGGAGAGACAGTGTCCTCGTGAACTATAATAGAGAGAGGTCTAGATTTTTTACCACATGGGAAACTGTTTAATATTACATAAGGGTGTCCGATGTCTCTGATACATAAAACAGTCCCAGACACAGGACCTTGCATCATCTGAGCTGGAGTTATTCAACGATGTATAATGCAACAAGGTTATAGGCTAATACAGAATGTCACAGACAACAAATAGGTATTCACATTCAGATATATGTTTATCAATTCAGTTTGTTTCTATTCCATTTCAATGTTTCTCTACAGCTCCACTTTAATGATGATGATGATGACAACTCATGTGATAGATGAGGAAATTCTGTTTTCTCCTCACAGAGAGTTGAGAGCTAACAAGTTACCCTGGAGCTGGTAGAGAGTCAGTGCCTTGCTTAAAGGGCACTATGGCAGGACAGATGCTTTCTGTGACTTCTCGCACCACCACCACCTGGAAACCTTAAACAAGCAGAATTTAAGAATTCGCTTCAGATGTAAAGCAAATGTAAAATGTTGCCCTTTTCAAGTAGGGCTGCAACCAACAATTATTTTAATTTTTGACGAATCTGTCAGTTATTTTCACTTAGTCTATAAAATCTGTAAAAGTCGACATTTTCAAATTGGTTGTTTAGTTTGACAAACAGTCCGAAGATTTTCAGTAAGACAATAAAATGCAGCAAAAAGGTAAAATTGAGAGGCTGGAACCAGGGAATGTTTATCCTTTTTAGCTTGAACATTTTGATAAATGATTATAGTCAATTATCTAAATACATATAATTGTAAATTAATTTTCCCTCATCTGACAGATTTCTTTCACGCTCTAATTCCAAGATATTCCAGCATAGTGCTGCAACTTTATGCATGTACTTATTTATGTAATTAATCTCATATCAGTGCACATTTATGATCCAGCAATGTGTAGATTACAAAAGTTATTGTTCATATTAAACACAGAAAAGAGAGGAAGCGTGGCGTTCTTGAAATACAATGAGAATTTATTCAAACGGTGCAAAACAAAATTAATAATTATAATAATAATAACCTAACATCTGATGTTCTTTCTATCCAGATTGCACTGTCACACAGCCTTAGGGCTCTCCTCTCAAAAAAACAAAAAAAACATCAAAACGATAAAAAATAAAAACAGATCAAAAATACCAGGACAACCGAAATCAAGTTAAAATAATGCACAAATTTGGTAAAATGGATTTCCATTTACATGCAACAGTTCCAGTCACATGCAACTCGAAGTATTCCATGTTAATGTCACCGATGATGAATGTTCTGTTCACACAGAGAATACAGTGTTGTACAATATATAAAAATATATCGGGTCAGTTGTGTCGCAAAACTAATTCTGAGCCATTTCTCTTCTGGTTCGGAGGAAACGAGCTGGGTCAACAAAAAAAAAAAAAACGCCGCTGTCATGTTTTAGCATAGCACGGATCGGTGGCTGTAGAATAAAAAAAAACAAAAATGTACAAATCAAAAAAAAAAAAAAACAGCAACAAACAAATAAAAGCCAGACTGCTAGACAATTAGCCATGTGAGAAAGAACATCCTAAAATGTCGCAAACTAAACATTCCACAAGGAAACCTATTAAAAAAAATCTCACTATAAATATATATATATTCTCAAATGGTGTCTTGTTAGGTCAGCATTGAGGAAATTAGTTTGCAATGAGAGAGCCTCGAGTAGCAGGAGGCTCGTCTGGGAGTCGCTTTCCACAGCCTAAATGTCACTTTCTGGTAAACACCAAGTCCAGGCTCTACAAGCTCATCATCCACTCATGTTTCAGTATCCAACATACATTCTTACCCTTTTAAAAACACTGTAAAACTTTGGGCTTACAAAAATAACTTGGAACATATTTATACAACCTCTCATTGTTTTTTTTCTTTTTCTTCTTAAATACAAAAAAGTGTTTCTAGCCTGTAAAGTCTGACGTCTTTTGTGTTTCTGAGGCATCCGTTTCATTGCAAAAATAAAATGAAATGGTTTTGTCAGCTAATTATTACTTTGGAGAGAGGAAAAGAGAGTTTGCACACAAACAGGCATCACCTCCCCCCCCACAGTGAGGGAACACTTGATGGGTCCCGTCTGAATTAAAATGTTAGTGCACGGACACAGGTCAACACACATAAACACAGCAAATGCACGTTGTTTTTTTGGGGAAATAGCATGATTTAAGTGTTTTATTGTCATTAAAACTCTAGTGTTACTTTAAATGCACAGCAAATAAACTCCCTTCTTCCTTGACCAGCTTTAGCATTACAGGAAATATTGTATTATAGTGTTACATAGTGTTAAACGAGCACTACTGCCCTAATATTTTGGTTATTTGTACCTGTAGTTTTGAGTATAGGTCGTGATGGTCAGCTCCACACGCAGAGTTCAAACGAAAAACAAAACAAGACTGCCCTCAACTGGGCAAGGCAGTGAGTTGCATACTAAATTGTGCTTTTCTAGACTTGATGCCAAAGAACAGATTCCCTCAAGAGTCACACTACTTTAACCATGGCTTATTAGAGGGGAATCAATGAAGTATTTAAGTAGTAATTCTGACATTAAAACAGCGTTAACTCTGATATCTTAATAGGGAAGACTCAAACTGAAGATTAGCGGGTATCAACTAGTTGATATAACTAACAGAATAATGGCATTACCGCAATAGCTTCAACACGATTCAATAAGAATTATAATTTGTTAAATTTGAGGGCAGTAGTAGTAGAGACTGCGGGCAACGAGGCAAGCTGCGGATACTGTTTGTAGTCTTGCACGACGTACAAACAGTATTGCGACGCCACGAGAACAAATGCTGAAAAAGGCAACTAGGAAACTGAGTTAGATGGTGACGCTGGCACCAAAATGCTGTAGCTCTACAGTAACGAAATCCTTTCGAGAAAAAAAACCCCTCTGGCCCGCGCCCCTGATCCCTCACGAACAGAGGTGGCAGTGTCTGCAGAGATGAACAAAAGACAACAGTCAGGCCACTTCAAAAACAGTAAAAAGGTTTTTTTTTGTATCTACGGACATCAGGAAAGTGCTTGAAATTGTGCAAAAAAGTGATTACGCAACTGGATTTTGTCGGACGAATGCCAGAAATGAAGAAACGGCCTTTAGTAGAATGTCAGAGTTTGCAGCGGGATACAAAACTAATACTCACTAGGACGTCCTGTTAGGAAGGATGCCCTGAATGTTTGACCGTCTGTGCGATTGCATGAAACATCACATTTCTCAACCCCCAGACAGAGTTTCAGAACCATAACTTGTAACCATAAAATGTGTCAACACAACGCGAATGTTATTGGGTATCAACATCCAACAAAAACGCATGCGTCCCTTTGCATCAGGCAAACAGAAGTTGGAGACAATTGTCACAATTGCGGACATTTGGAGCCAGATCACGTCACTTATTTTAGTTACATGTGGGTTAATTTGCTTGTCAAATCCAAAATACGGTTGCATTTAAAGTATTTCACTTTGCAGCATGTTACGCATGTGAGGGACGTCTCCAAAAACTGTTGTGCTATGTGACATTTGACTCTGTATTGGCCACAATAATCAAATGCCTCAACGGCAACCTTTGTTACAGAAAGAGGAAGACCCAACTAAGAGAGACAAACTTTGCAACACACGTCTGGAACGCTCTGGCTCTAGGAGCAGTGTCTTGTTGTCTGTGTTGCTGTGTCATCTTTGTTCAACGATGCATGGTTAATAATCTGGCCAATTGCATTCAATCTTCCAACAGGTTGACCTCTTTATAATCCAATTCATAGCTATACGAGTAGTGTTTTTGCCAAAAGGATAACAGTACAGGGTTGATGTATGTAATGCATGGACATGTATGCGTTTGCATTCTGTAACAGTAGCACCA